CATGATTTTTAGGATTCCAGTCTTTTTTATTAGAAAAAATGTCGTTTAATAAAACATCTGGCAAGCTTTCTTTATCAAACTCTAAACAATTATTGTCCATTTTATTTTCTTGTTTCTTTAGATGTAAATCCAAAACCGGTGATTTTCTATTGCTTAATATTGAAGAAGTTGTAAATGAATCATGTTCTCTCTAAAAAATTATATTAAAAACTTTAATGTGACAAAATTGAAATTTGGATTAAATTTAATTAATATTCGATTTGTTATACACAGTAATAAACAAATTTATACTTTTAATCATGTAATTAAAAAAATTTTTTTTTTTTTTTGCAATTAAAAAAAAGGAAAAAAAAGAAAATGACAATTACCCCTTCATTAATATCAATAATTTCATTTGCATTGTAATCAATGAGGTCGAGAAGTTGATTTGCATTTGTTTCAAATACGTTTAAAATCCTACTCTCGTTATTTTTTTGTAATAATTTATTTGAATTTTTTATATATTCTTCATCTTCATCTGTATTATAGTTAAAATTAACCGGATTTGAATTTGTATTTAAATCTAAAGAATCGTTTTCTTCAATTGAAATTACATTCATTTCTTTGTTTCCAAAGTTTTTATAACTTTGCATGTCGGTTCACCCACTAATTTTTTTTTTTCAAAAACTTTAGAAATTTTTTTTTCTTTTCTTTTAACACATGCTATGCTTCAAGCTTTAAAATTTTTTATACTTTATTACTTTAATAAAAATAATACAGCTACAAAAGTTCATAAAAAAAAAAAAATTTTTTTCAAACTAACACACTATTACTTTACTTGTACTGGCAATAATAAATATAACTATGGAAATCCTACGTTATAAAAGTTGAAAGATTATTTTGATTCAATCCAATCGAAAGTTTTATAAAAACAAAAAAAACTTATATCGTTTTTTAAAACTAAAAACAAACAAACAAAACTGTGAAAAAAAAATTAACTGTTAAAGAAAATTAACACACAAGAATGTGTAAGCGGGAAAACGAATAACTTATAGCTCAAATTAAAATAATCGTATTAAAGATGTGTTGTCTAAATTTAAAAGCAAAAAAAAAAAAAAATTTTTTCTTATTCTACCGTCAAATTTATCAAAAATGAATTGTTTTTTTTTAAAAAAACTCTCCCTCATGAGAATAAAAATGGCTGCATTGTTAAGTTACAAAACCATAAAATTTCGAACAAGTCGTAATCACGTTTCAAATTATCAAATTAAGTTGAATTCTAACCGAAATAAGAAACTACATTCTAAATATTTGCCTTTTTGTCTAAAAAAAAACACTGTAAGCTTTTATTTTTAGCGACAAAGCAACTAAAATAATAATCAACATAATTTTTGACACATGATACTAAGCGGCAACTAATCAAATAAAGAAAACCGTTGTAACCGCCAAAATTCTAGCGTCTACTGCTAAAAGTTTTGAAACAGGCGGATTTTGGCGGGGTACTTTTTACTAGTTTTCACTCTGTTAGAACAATAACAACAATTTTTTTTAAGGAGATATAACGCGGTAGAACAAAATGATAGAAAATGGAAATCAATTTAATTAATAAATTTTTCAGTAAAAATTTATTGTGCACAATCTAACCGACAAAAATTCTTCGTGATCATAAAAAAAAATTTTTTAAATTTCTATTTCTATATATATATTATTGCGTGATCAATTATTAAAAAAAAAAAAAAAAAAAAAGACATTTATTTGTGTACGACGGCCAAAAAGCTTTAATATTTTGAAGGTTAAATTTTTTTTTTTAAAAAAAAAAGTAAACAAAAATATTAATAATACTTATTTATATATAAGTAAATAATATTTAACTTATTAAACAAATCTTTTAATAAAAAAAAATCGAACCTCAAGGTAAAATTTTTTAAATAAATGTTTAGCTTATTAATTTTTTTAATCTTATCATTTTTAATCACTTAGCTTTTTAAAGTTTTCTAATTTTTTATGAAATTAATTTTTAAAATTTTTAACTTTTTTTTAAATTGAAAAACTAAACAAAAACTTTTACTACGAAATAAAAGCCTTCTTTCAAAAAAAAAAAAAAAAAAATCAATTAAATTTATTTTTAATATAAATATTTATTTTAAATGTCACTGACTTCTACTTCTTTTACAAAAAAAATTAAATAAAAATAATTTTTTTTTTTTAGGCTTTTTTATTGATAAGGTATGACTTTAATCTTAAATTTTTTAAATTAATTTGAACGAAAAAAAAAAAAAAAAAAATCAAATGTCAAAGCTTTGAACCCAACCGTTTCTCATTCGTTCCTTAATTGGATTTATATTTAAATATGATTAATGCTTAACCCTTATATGTCATAAAAATCTTATTAAACTTTTTTTTTTTTTTTTTTTTTACCCGTGTAATAATAAAATGATTATATTGTTTAATTTATTAATAATGATAATAATAATATATATATGAAAAACCCGGGATTTTATTATTATTATTATTATTATTATTTGACTACATTTTAAAGAATTCGAAAAAAACCCACGATAATTTTTAAAAGACAACTTTTCGTAGAGTAATTCGTAATTAAATAACGTTTTATTTATATTACTTCCGATGTAATTTAATATCCTTTTTGCCATTTTTTATTTGCAAAAAAAAAAGTAAAAAAAAAAATTAATTTTTGTTATATGTCATCATTTACATGAGAATACATAAATAACTTTTTACTTTTTTAAAACAAATTTAAAGTAATCAAAAAAAAAAACAATCACACAAAAACAAAAAGGCAAGTTTTTTTTTTTTTTTTTTAATACCAGAACACCTTTTAAGTACAAATTTTATCGATTTAAAATAAACATTTTACTTCCGCGCACTTACACACTTTTTTTAATTTCTTACACTTTAAATGTTTCACAAAGTAAAAAAAAAAAGGATAACTTTGAGCAATTTAGCAGCAATAAAGTTTTAAAAAAAATTTTTAAGGTGAACTACAACTGAATAAAACGAATTTTTCAATTTTAAAGGATAAATTAGTAATTTGTAAAAAAAAATATTTACTCTTATCGTACGACGACAAGCAAGATCATAAAATAAATGCAGAATCCTAAACTCCAACGCCAAGTCATGCGTAATTACAACGTTAATGTAAACGAAACGTAAGAAAATTTATTTTTACATTTCAATAACATTACGCGCGTTAATCTTTATATAAATTTTTTATTAATAATTTTTTTTTTTTTTTATCCGCTGTAGTTATATTTCAGTTTTAACACAAAACATATTAACGAATAAATAATAATAATAATAATTACTTTATAAATATAAAAATAAATGTCAAACGTGAAGGAGGAGTAAAAAACAATTCGTTTAACAAAAAAAAAAATGAAACGAATTTAAATGAAAGAAAAAGAAAAATGTATTCACACTTTCGATTTGCCACTTCAGCGCATCTGCGAAAATGGCACTAAAAATCAATATTTTCTAAAATTGAAAAAAAAATTTTTTGCCGCACATTTAATTAATTTTATTTTTGGGGGTAAATGTCATTTTCCATAGACTTTTTTTTTTTTTTTTAATTTAAAATATTTTTTTTTTAAAATTTCACATTTCGGTGTCGTAATTTATGCATAATTACGATATTTAGATTAATAATTAATTTGACAAAAAAAAAAAAAAACGTTAAAGAGGAGTAAAATAAAGAAATGACGTCATTTTAAAGTTTTAATTATTTCATGGCCAAAATAAAATTATCAGACAAATATCCCTGCTGCATAACCGTTTTTAACAAAATTATTTTTCATGGTTTTTCTTGTTTCGTAATGGATACCATATATATAAATTTATTAAGTAACATTATTTATTTTGTATTGTTGATTTCAATAATTCTTAGATTTTTATATAATGTAGAAAAGAAATAATTGTCGGTTAAAGATTAAAAATTTGCTGGAAATTATGATTCATTGCATTTCATTTCATAAGAGCAATTTGGTTTTGAGTTTGAGTTTTTCAATTGAATTTGTGATTTAAATTAAAATTTAAATTCAATTCGATATATAAAAGTACACGATTACATTATTTAATAAAATAAATCATTATAAATATTTGAAAATTGAAAACTAAAAAATGATTGGGGTAAAAAGTAATGATTGGGGAAACTGTGGGGTATTGTTTATATACTCTATGACTACACAAGAAAATGGATTTTTTACTTTCATAAAAGATTAAATTAAAATTAATAATAGATGTGGTCGCAAAGTAGTAATAAGCTTCTCATGCTAAATTTTTCAGCAGATATTATGAAAATAATTTTTTTTTTAAATAAAATTCTCACCTGCATCATTGATAATGATTTAATATTAATATTTGATATTTCATCATATTTTTTATAGAAATTTCCAAATGACCAGTGAGTTGTTTTTTTTTTTGATTCTGATCCATTTCCTAAAGTTAAACTTATTTCCTCATGCAATTGAATTGTTTCAATTGTTAAGCTCCGCACTCGTGCAAGCAACTCTTCATAACTTGAAACAGGTAAAGACATCGAAGTGTCAATTTATCCTTAAAAAAATATATTAAGTAAAAAAAAACCAATTAATCATTACTTTTATAAAAAAAACCGCGTATAATGTGATTGAAATTCAAAAAGATAAGTTAAAAGATAATAATATGATTAAAATTAATTCGTTTAAGAGATAGTGTATACGTTAATAAGATAAATTTTAATTGTTGTTTAAAACGTTATTAAATTTCCGTTACCATTATTATTATTATTATTATTATTATTATCTCTCTGCAATTCAAAATTGACATTGACAAACGATATCGAATTTACATAAACGTATATAAAACTAAAAACAAAATTTATTGATTTTTCCACGAAATGAGTAGTATTTACGGATAAATCGAACATTTTGAATTATTATAATAATAATAAATAATCTTATTTCAGTTCGGAATACTTACTTATTTATGTAATTTTTAAATTAAAATAGCTTTTTGACATCGTAATGATATGATGAATATTAACTTAAGTTGGCAACACTTAACTATAAACAAAAAATTAATAAGTTTTTTAGAAAATCTCTTTTTACGTAATTTTGGATTTTGCGCTCTAAAAACAATTGAAAAGGCGGTTAAATATTTGTAATTTATGAAAAAAATTTCTTTTTTTCTATTAAATCTTTATTTGTTTTTAATAATTTTTTGAAATAAAAATTTTATTATTTTATTTCTTCAAGTTATATTAATTCAGGGGCGATTACGAAAGTGAAGAAAATAACAAAATTATTTTTATCAAATATCTTTTCTTCTATAAAAATTTTCTATTTAAGTTTCCTTCCATCTGATGATTATTTCTTTATTAACAAATAAATTATTAAACTTTGTTTGTGTAATAAAGTTTTTTTCAAAAAAAAAGAGGTTAAATCATATTAACAAAGTAATAATGATGAAATAATACTGATATTAATCAATTTTAATATGTTTTATATTGATAAATAAACTGATAATTACAATTCTTTTTTAAATACATTTAATATAATATAAATAATTTATTATTAATAAATAAATTCACAAAATATTTTTTTTTTTTTTTTAAATTATATAAATATATATGAAGCAACATCATTACTTAAATAAGTTAAAAAATATAAATTAATAAAAATTAAATTGAATAAATTTCATTATACTTAATTTAAGTAAAGCAAATGGGGATTAGTTACAATTATTCTTTTAATACATTTATATATAAAATATATATATATATTTATACATATTTTTTAATTAAGTAATACGAATAAACATTATATAAATTTAATTTAACCGACCGAGTCTTTCTTTTTAAATTTATTTATGATTTTTATACGGTTATTTAAGTCGTTTTAAAATTTAAAAACCATTTTTACCTTAATACGAGTAAATGTTTATTAAAAAACAATTTCTTAAATTATTTTATTTATGTTAATAATCTATTTATAAATTCTTAAAACCCAAAAATCGTTTATAATAAATAATAAATATATTTTTTTATTTAATATTAAATATCTATTTTGTAAAGAAAGCATTCGGAAATTTTAAATGTTGTTTAAAATGCATTCGTCATTCTTCATCACTAAAATAAATAAAAAAAAAAAAATGGTTAAAAAATAACGTCTATAAAAAAACGAAATAAATAATATTTATTCTCTTTAAAATTTCACCATTTTACTATTAGGCAAAATAAATTTATCGCTTTAAATATCTTGGGTGTAACTTCTTTACCTTGATAAAAAAAAACATTGATGGGTTGTTATTGTTATTAATAAATCTAACGTTTCACAGAATGAACATGGAATCTTTATTTTGCTTTCTAGAAGATGAACTTGTATTGTTACTATCAGATTCAGAAGGCAAATTATCTGCAGCTGCAGCACGCTCGGCCAAAAATTTTTCAAATTCGCTACTCGTTAGAGATTCCTCTTGCTGTAAAATTTTTTAATGATTAATTTGAGTTTTTTTTTTTCTATTTAAAGCATTAAATAATGAAATAGAACCGTTGTTATGCTACGTTTTAAAGTAAATATACTTCATTATAATGACATTCACTCACTTTTTCTCCCAACCAATTGGCAACTTCGTCAAAATCTTGATCCAGATGCATCTGACACGATGTAAAAAAAAAAAAAAAAAAAAATTAATGACATGTGACAAAATAATTAGGCAGTTTAATTAAAATTTGATAAGCTGAACAAGTTTTAAAGTTTTTTTTTTTTTTTTTTTTCTTAAGGGTGAGAATATAAGAAAAAGTAGTGTAAAATAAAAACCTCAGAATATCTGTCCTTTTTTTTTTAAAAGATTCAATAATACCAACAATATTAAATGTGGAGGTAGCTAGCTTCCTTCTCATAAATCATTTTTTTAACTTTAAGTTTCAATTAACAATCACAATGACGGACACCTGATTCAGGTAAATACTATTAGCACTACCATTTGGAAATAATACTCAAGTGTAACAAAAAAAAAAAAAAAAAAAAAAAATTTTATTTTGTAACTTACGTTGGGTGACCTTGATGAGTAATTAGCTCCGCTCGTATTGTTAGATAAATTAGCAAAATCTTTACTCATTTCATCTGACGCATGACTAAAAATTTATTTGATTATATTGTTAATATTTATTATTTTCAATTGGAAAAAAATTAATTAAAATTTCCTTTTTTTTTTTTTTTTATAATCTGACTTACTCTGTTTTAATCAAAGCATCGGTTAAATTGTTATTTTGCGCTAATGATTTAAATGTCTTATCTTTATTACCAACCATGCTTTCCTGTGGTAACAACGTTTTAGGTACCGTAAAAGAGGAGGTCGAGCTATTGACCGATAATGATGATAATTGATTAACAATAGGATTAACATCCTCTGAACCAGTATCGTTAAGATCAATAAGAGGTCCCTCAGCAGTTTTTTTATCATTTATAATACTTTTTCTATTTTTTTCATATCTGCCATACCTAAAAAAAATTTCAAAAAGTTTATTCGAAAGTGATTTTTTAATGACTTTTAAAGTTGATAATTTTTTTGAAAAAAAAAAAAAAAAAAAAAAAAATTATTTTATTACCTCAAAAATAAATTATTTAGTCCATCGTTTACTCGTAATAACTCAGCAGTTATGTCATCATTGGAAATTTGACTAATTAATTCTACTATTCTTTCTTGCATTGCTTGACATGTCGAATACAATTCCTAAAATTTTTTTATAATAAAAAAAAAAATTTAAAAAAGCAGTTTAATAATTTTATGTAAAGCTAAATTTCATTAAAATATTTTAATTAAATAATTAATAAAAAAATTAACCTTTAAAAGTTCCAAGTCACTTGGTGGTTCATTTCCTGGTACTAATTCACCCAACATTTCACTTAAAACTGTCATATTACCTTCGACAACCCTGAGTTCTGACATTAATTTTCCAAGCTGATTAGAACTCAATGATTCTGATTGATTTGAAGATGAATTTTCATTCGAGGTCATTTTAGGAACAGTCGATTCCTCTGCTGCATACTGCAATTTTAAAAGCATACTAAAAGTAAATTTTTCTAATTTTAATTTATTTGTTGTAAATTACAAAAATAACATTAAAAATATTAACATAAAATAAATTTAAAGGATTTAAGGTGTAATTTAAACATTTTAACATCATTTTCTACAAAAAAATTTTTCGAAATAATCGCTGTGAAAATAAATATGTATGTAAAAAACTGAAATTTTGCCACTAAAATTTCAATTGATTATTTAAAATCATATTCAATTTAAATAATACAATTTATAATTGTTGTAATTATAACATTAAAACTTACCATTTTAGGAGTGTGAATTAAAGCTGTAGCTTCAGCATCAGCCATAGGGAATTCTAGTCCTTTTTGTTTCAATTCATTAAAAACCTGAACTACTCCATTAAGTTCAGGTTGATGTTTAAATGCATCAGCCCAGCACTGAATAAGACTCAAAATTTTTTGTTGCAATTCTGCAGGAGGATCATTTTTTGGTCCGATAAGTTTCACAAGTTCCTATTGTTTTTAAAATAAATAAGACTAAATACAAAAAAAATTTAAACCGAACAATTAATTCAAATACCTGAATAAAATCTTTTTGGCATACTAAAACATGGAATTTTTTTTGACAATTTTTTACACATGTTTCCAAAACAGTTAAAGTATACATTGTTGTTTGAAAGTTTCTGGATGCATTTTGATTTAGACGCTTTCGTATTGCTTTGATAGCATCTTTAGGTCCATCTTCTGTTTCATTAATTAAATCACATATTTCCATATTTAAAGCCCAGTTTTCAGAAGGCAATGAAGATTCAGTGGCTTGTTCTGAATAAAAAATAATGGGATTAAATAAGATAATTCAAAAAATTAATAAATTGTATTTAATAATTTTTAATAAAAAAAATACTCATAGAGACAAATTATTAATCCATACTTTATTAATGAACAAATTTAAGTAACAAAGGGTAACAAGCAACAAAGAGTTAAAATAAAAAAATTTTAAGATAGCTCCCACATAGCAATAGTTTCAATATTGTAAAAATTAAATAAATTTGACAAATTAATATAAATACAAGATACACCCAGATTTGTTTCTTGACTAAATGCACTTAAAAGATTATATAAGTAACAATATATTACTACAAATAAAAAATGTTGTACTAAATTTTTTTTTTTAAAAACGTAGTCATTTTACTTTCTACGTATCACTCAATTAAAAATAAAAATATTTTCTACAACTGTCTGACAAATCGATAATGCTTGATCGAAATTGCAAAAACTAAAAAATTTTACGCCCCCGACATAAAATTAAAAAAAAAAAATTTACAAAAATACAAGTGTTTGAAATAAAATTTATCGGTTTACAAAAAAATAAAGGAAATAATACCTATTTTTTTGCCTACAGGCGAAGCAAAAGGATTACCACCAAAAAACAACGCCATTTTTACTTAAAGTGCCACAGACAAAAAATTACGCAACTTTTAAATTTTATTTGGCGACAGTTGCTATGGTGCGAAATTTCAACGTATTTACGATTTTATTAAAAGTTAATTTCAACTTCAATTAAAATGGATACTGAAACAGCTTGCTTGGATTTAAGAGAACCCGGTGTAATAGATGAAAAAATGGTTAATAATGCAATTATTGAACAGGGGCCTAAGGGAGAAGAAGGCAGATTATTTAAACAACAAGGAATTGTTTATGAGGAAGTAGCTCAATTACGTTTAGAATACCTAGGTGAGTACATTAAAATATTAGTTATTAAAAGTTTTACGTTATATTTTAGGTTATTTTTATATTAATATTACTTGTTAATAAGCAAAAACAATATCTAGTTTTAAATTTGAATAGTTATTCTTTAGATAAAAAAAAAAAAAAAAAAGTAAAAGAAATTTTGAATTTGACCAAAAATATTAAACATATATTAGGAAACTTGAAAAATCTTTTTTCTTTAATGACTACAGAAATATATTATATTTTATTTTAAAACAGCAGTAAACTATAATTTTATAATTTTTTTTTCAAAAATATTTTATTCACAAATTTTACATAAAGTTTTTCTCGAATTATAATTGTTCAACAATTTAATTTACATCATTATTTTATAAACTTATGTTTATATATTAATCTAAGGGTCATGAAATGTTTATTTAATAACATCAATTTTTAATTCCAATCTTAATTTTTTTTGTAATAAAATAAATATTTTTACACATAAATTGTTTTTTTTTAAAAAGTTGGGTATTTTATTTATATATTGTCTACAAAGACATTAAAAATTTGGGAAACACCAATTTAAAAATTTCATGGAAGCTTCAAACCCAATAAAACAAGCTGCATTTGCTGGGAAAGCTCTTAACATTACTGGAGTTATCCCTTTATATAAAGCTAGTATTCCTTCTTCCCTCATAAGCTCTCTAAATGCACTTCTAATACCATGTGGATAGGTACCTTCAGGTGCACTTTGAAGTCTACTTTTTAAAACATCTGCTGGCATGGCAACAATCTAATATAAAAAATTATACATGATAATTTAAATTAATTCAATGGGCTTTTAATTCTACTAGTTTAAGCTGTATCAAAGTGAAATTTCTGCTTTTAATTTACATAAAAATACTTTACAAAATTTGAGAAAAAAATATTTTTAACTTATTAAAATTAGTTAGTTGTTAGATTAAATAGTTTAGTTTTAATTAAGCTTTTAACGCTAATTAGTCACTGACACAAATTATTCTTTTACATGTTTACTATAAATTATTTTTAGTAGTATATTTATATATTAATATATTATATTTTATACTATAAATAAAGTAATTTTAGCTGTCATTTGAGTATTGCAAAAATCTAAAAAATCAGATTTTTCATGTTATAGAGAATTATTTTTAATTACCCAATTTGCTATTCCAGCCATTCCACCAGCAAATATTGTGCCAATTAATTTTATATCTGTACTTTTTTCTGGAGCAATCACCTAAAATTATAAATAAAAAGTTATTATTATTTTTCTATAAAAAGTTCATTAAAAATTAGTCGAAATTTATTACAAAAAATAATGATTAAAAATTTTAAAAAATTCATAAATTTCTTTAATACTTTATAAGAATGTTTTCTTAACAAAAGACAAGATTTTTTTAAAGTATAAAATTCAACAAACCCCTTTTATCCAATCGTAAGTCATAAAATACATTCCACTTGCAGGTACATCTCTCAGCAATGTGGCAAATGTTCCTTTAAATACGCTACGAATTCCAGCCTCTTTGTATAATTTTTTAATTACATCTACAGGTCCATGGTATTTTTTATCTCCAGCTGCAAATATTTATGCAGTACCTTGTTTGATTAGAAAGCATTGAAAATTATGATGACATAGTTATTTTTAATTTACAAAAATTATTCAATTAAAATTATTGTTTAAATAATTTTTTATTTAAATTTGTAAAAAATTGCACACACTGCAAGCTATGCTTTATTTTGCATAATAATTGTTTAACAATTTATCCTATAAAAAATTTGCTGAATAAATTTATTGTTGCATAAAAAAGGAGAAAAATTATATGTGTAAATTAAAAAAAAATATAAGTTGTATATTATAGTTAATAGTACAGAATTATAATTGTAATTACATTTTTTGCATACAAAAGCATACCTTGTTGAACTTGCAATAAAGTTTTGATTCTTTCTCCAGGTGCCATAATAGATGTAGTAAAAACTCCTGAAAGAGCACCAGCAAAAAACAAATGCATTGCACCCAAAGGTTCTTGAGTGAATTTTCGTATAATATTTTTACCAAGATCAAAGCCAAAAAAACTAACCGCGAAAATTGGAGTTACACCAGCCAAGGGAGCTGCCATTCCCTTGTACAATCCTCTAACTCCTTCATGAGCTAATGTTTTTTTGGCACAATCAAATGTTCCAGAATATAACGGCGGTTGCCCAGGTGAGGGTTTAGGCATGGTTTGTAACCTTACTTTAATTGTATCTAAAGGGTGTCCACATAAAACTGTACAAACTCCACCAAAACCACCAGATACAAAGTTTTTTAAAGAAGACTGTGCCTTTTTTTTATTTTCACTCATTTTGAAAAATGATTAAATTAAAGCGGACAATTTGATAAATTTTCTATGTAAATATTTTGAGCCCAAAGTACTTGACACTTAACGACAAGTGTCAAGGCCGTAATCACATGGTAAACATTAAAATGGTGGTAAGACTGTAGGGAAAAAATATTTTTCTTTCTTCATAATTTCATTTAAAATTTTTATATTATGTATTTCTGTTTCATTTATTAGACACTTTTCATAAAAAAGTATAAAATTATATATAATTCCTTTAGAATTCATATGCATAGTTTATTTACGATTGCATGAGACTTGGAACTTATTAAAAACTTTTTGTTTATAACATTTAAAGATTTTTTCAAATAAGATAAATTTTATTTAATTCTATTTTGAAATTGTAATAAATAAGTAATGTTTGAGATTAGTTATTAATCATTGTTTGAAAAAAAGAATATGCCGCTTTTTGATTGGTAGTGTAAAAATTTGTTTAACACGAATGCCAACGTTGAAAAAATTTTATTTTTTTGGCGCCAAATAATAATATAAAAGTTTTTTTGAATAAAAAATTGTTTTGATCAACTCAATTAAACTTTGGGTATTTGTTTTAAGTAAATTTTATTTGTTTTTTGTTAAAATTTATTATGTTCTGTCAAAACAAAATAAAGGTTTATATTTAGGTATTAATATTGTTTGCAAAATTAAAAAAAAAAACAGGACTTTTTTATTAAATTAATTTGAAACTTATTAATTTATGTTCATTTCAGATATTTTGAAAATTGATCATCTCTGGATGCTAACGGGACTTACAAAATTACAACTTTGTAACAATCGTATAGAAAAAATTGAAAATTTACATTTTTTGGTGAATCTTGTAGAATTGGATCTTTCTTTTAATTTCATTGAAACAATAGAAAATTTAGATTCTCTTAACAAATTGGAAATTTTAACGTTTTTTCAAAATAATATTAGTGAATTGAAAAATTTAGATACTTTGACCAATCTTACTATATTAAGCGTTGGAAATAATAATATAGGAGATCGAAATAGCGTAAATATATATATTTATTTTCTATAAAAAAAAGATTGTTTTGTTTTAAATATTATTATTTGGTTCACGTTTCATAAAATTATATTGCAGGTTTTGTATTTAAGAAGATTTGAAAATTTAAAATCGTTAAATTTAGCAGGAAATCCAGTAAGTAAAGGAGATAATTTTGTCAAATTTATAATGGCGTACCTCCCTCAATTAAATTATTACGAATATCGTTTAATTTTATACGAGGAAAGAGAAGATGCAAGAGAATTTTTTGGGTAAATTTCTTCCATGTTGAATAAAAACTAAAAAATAAAATTTTTTTATACTAACTTTATCGTTTTCAATTATTAATTAGAAACAATCTTCTTAAGCTTGAGAGAGAAGAAAGCGAAACGAAAGCAATTTTTAAGAAAAAAAAAAGAGAGGAAGAACAAGAAATATTAAATAGTGAAGCATTTGTAGAATATATTGGAAATAATCATTTCTTTAAGTCTTTATTCGAGAATGATACAGACTGTCAAGCCCTTCTTCAAATGGGGGACTTTTCCTCTGGTTTTTACGAAGAGTATCCTTTTGTTCATATCAATTTGACACAAATTAAAAAATAAATATAAATGAGTTTTACACATTTTTTTTTTTTTTTAACACACAAACAAGATATCAAAAAAATTTTGAAGAAATTGCCAACGAATTGGTGGCTTTAGGCCTTCAACAATTAGAGTTGAGAAAAGAAGAAATTGCAAGATTTGAAAAGCATGTTGGAGATGCAAAAAGAAGACTATACGAAGAATCGAGAAAGTGAGTCTTTCCCAGTAATTATTAATTTTATTCTATTTAAAAAACATCAAATAAACATTTTTCAAAAAGTATTTTAGATTTTGATTTTGCACAAAATAAATGTACTGTCATTTTTCAGAATCATTGAAAATTTTATCGAACAAAAAAATTCAATTTTTGAACAGTTAAAAGAGGTATTGAACAATGAGGATGATGAAGATGATGTTGCTAATGAAACATCAGTAAGCATACAACTTCTTAATGAAAATTTTAAAGATCTTTGTCACAAAACATGGACCGTTTTAATGAGTAAAGAATTAAATTTGTTTGAAAGAACTGAGGTACTTGACTTTTTTCTTTTTTCCCCCAATTTCTAATCTAATTTCTATTGAAATTTCAATAATAATAAAGTTTAAATTTTGTAGGATGTCAATGGAACTTACGAAAGGTCTTTAACCGAATTGGTAAATTCTTTTGTGGAAGGATCGCAAAGTCTATTCACACAAATACGTCAATTACAAAATACTTTTAATGAAAATTTGACGGATGCTGCAAATAAATTTTTCACAAATTACACCGTAGCCAGTGCAACAAAATTGGGAAACGAATTTAAAAATATTTCTGATAATTTGGCTTATGTAAACTTTTTTTTTAAAAATTTTAAAGTTTTACAAAAAGTTACGTTAACGCCTAATACATTAATACTTAAATATTTTTATAGCTTTTGCAAGATAAAGAAGTTTTAGTGAATGCATTGTCTGCCTCACACGATTATCATTTGCTATTAATTGATCAAAGAGAAGATAAATTAATAACGGGTGTCAGGACGTGGCTCGCCAACTTATTAGAAAATTTAGTCAAGTAAAAAAAAAAAAAAAAAAAAAATTTTTTTTTAAATTAATTTTTTCGTTATTACATCGACTTAATAATAATAATAATAATAATAATCGATATTTTGTAGTTCGGAAATTAATCGTCACAGAAGATCTATTATGGAAATAAATCATTTCTTAGATATACAAAAAGCCGAACTTCACAGTTTGTTAATGACTCCGATGGGTTTGAATTTGTTACCGAAAGATATCCAAGATGCTCTTCAAATGTAAATTTCAAATAAACTCCAAATACATAAACGTTTGATAAATTTCAAATTTAATATTTTTATTTAAATTTAAAATTTTTTATTGATAATAACATTTCACATTCGAGACATTTTTTTTTTTTTTTGAAAGTTTGAAAATCGACAAATATTATATATAGTTAAAATAAAAATAAATTATTAATTAAAATTGTTTTTATTTTTATTTAAAAATGTAAAAATCATAATTTCAATAATAATAATAATAATACAATTATATTTTGATCAACTTTACAAAACTTTTTAACATCATTTAATAATCTATTATTTTTTCTTTTTTTTATGTTTACCCTTATGTTTATGTTTATGTTTAGACTTATGATTCGATTTGTGACCGTGTTTAGACTTGTGCGATCTTTTTTTTTTCATTTCGTCCATTTTGTTTTTCTCAATCCACTGATTATCATCGAAAAAATTATTTTCAATTTTGTTAACGCTAGTATTAATCTTATCAGGGATTTTTGGTCCGTACATTAAATCTAAAGAAGGATCCTCAACTTTAGAGTTTGGTAAAGCTACTTTATCTTCAACCTTATTTACATCTGGGGATTTAGATTTATTAACTTCGTTTAAATTCATTTTAACAGGAGTGGAAACTTCTTTATTTATAATTATTTCTTCGTAATTTTTCTTTTCAACTCTTTCCATTTTATTTTGTTCTGGAGAATTATTATTTTCAGTAGTAGTTTTTTCATCGCTCTCATCGTCACTCAAAAAAATAGCTTTAAATAAGTCTATTTTATTTACACTTTCATTTTGTTTAACATTTTCTTTATTTTCAGAATATTTTTTTTCTTCGGTTTGCGAAATTATTTCTTTCTTTTCTTTATTCTCCGATTCATTGGCCTTCTCTTCGGGTTTTGACACCAGAATTTTCTCATTGAATTTGGTATTTTCCGATTTCCCTACGTCAGATTTGTCGAACAAAATAATTTCTTTCTTTTTCGTTGAATTAGTTTTATTAGCCTGTCGTCTGTAAGGATAAAATTAACATGTATAATTTTTACCGAAAAGCAAAATTAAAATAAATGCCAAATTTAGTTTAATATTATTTACCCATTTATCGGTTCGCGAACATTAAATCTTTTGCATAACAACGAACAGGGGTACCAATCTTCCGTTTTTCGAGTTAGCCGACCATACATTTTCATTTTGGCTGCCTCTTTCATATCCTTCAGTTCTTCATTTAGCTGTAAAATCCAATACATTAATAAAAAAAAAATAATATCGCAAATAAAAAAATTTTCAATAGAATTTCTTAAATATATGTACATTACCTCCTCATCAACGTTTGAAATTACTGTCAAGTCGTCATCTTTTTGCCGAGCTGTCACGAATTCCTTTTCGAAAAGTTTTGCATAGGGGTGTAATAATTTGGTAACTGGATCTTGAACTTCATAGATTTCAATTTTTTTAGGTACTTGTACCAATTGACTAGCTGTATAAATTAATATAATTACTTTAAAAAAATGACTCACTTAAAAATTTTCAAAAGGAAAATTAAATCATCATTTACCAGTTTTATTACTTTCTGTAATAATTTGAGGATGATTCGTTTGCTTATCAAAAGAACTGGAAAAAAAAAGTAAAACAAAAAGAATTATTTTCAAAAAATAAATAGATTTATGCTTTTGAAATATTAATAACTTACAGAACTTTATCAGAAGGTTTTTTATAATCCAATTCATCTATATAGGATAAATTTTTTTCCTCTTCTATGATTTTTCCTTTTCGATTTTTAAAACTACCTTTAAAATTTTTTGGCAAATTTGGCAGAGGATAATTTATTTTTTTATAAGAAATTTTTTGAATAATAAAGCCTTTCAAAATTCCATCATTTTTTTCAGTTGTTTGATGAGTTTTATTATTTTCAGTGGTTTTATTCGAAAGATAAAAGTCATACTGAGATAAATCTTCTTTAGTATAAATGTCTTCATCTTCATCTTCAAAAGCCCCAACTCCGAAAGCTTCTCCCTTCATGTAAAATTTATTTTTATTAATGTTTTTCGAAGTAAAATTAATTTTTTCATTTTCACTAGTACCTAAATAATAATTTACAATCATAAAAATATCATAAAAATGACTGAAATAAAACTAAGTAATCCAAAGTTTGTAATAAAGAAAACATAGAGTGTAATGATAAGAAGGTTTTAACAAAACTTACCACAAGACATATTTGATGGCAAACCCTCATAGCCTAGCCCGAATAAATTTTTTTTGGGAGTGAATAAAAATGGCTCATAATCATTAGGAGCAAATGTAATATTGTCAGGTAGAGAATCGTCACTTTCATCATCACTTAAATTTTCTGAATAATTTTGACATCCATACACTCTTGCTCTAATCGCAGAAGAACTTTTTTTATCTTGTTTACTAATTCTGGGACCCACACCTTGCCCTGGTTTCCATCCCATTTTTATTAATAATCTTACACCAACTGATTCTCTAAAAAAAAGTCAAATTTGTAGTACTAAATTTTTTTTTTAAATTCAAAAAAATAAAATTTACACTTAAATATTTTAATCACATAAAAAAAATAAACGCCTACTTTGCTGGCTCTAAAATATTTTGAAAAACATAAGTGCCCAAATTTTTGACATGATGAGAACGTTTTCTTGAATTTTTGGTTTCGGTGGAATAATCAGTTCTTGTTTTTAATACTGTTGGAGCAATACCAAATTCTCCAATATCCTTCATTAAAAAAAGTTTTAAATTATTATATTGACAAAATTTATATATATATAAAATAATTAATACTAAAAACTATTAAAATTATTAATGAGAATGAAATAAATGTTGTAGCTTATATCAATATTTTTTTGAATTTATAATTGTGTTAACGCTTTGCAAAGGTACAAACCTCTTCATCCATAAAGTCTTCAGGTTTTTTTTGACTTATTGATTGTTTTTCAGATCTTGAAGATTTAAATGATGATGGAACCCAACCTTCTAATGAACCTACAGTATTGTAAAAGCCTGCAGAAAACCCTCCTGTAAAGGCACCATGAAATCTTCTTCGACCTTGTTTATCTTTGACAGTTTGGTCTTCCAACAAGCATGGCTTTTTTGTAGGGATTTCATCTTAATCACAAATTTAAAAAAAAAATGCAAGTTAAAAAAAAACTGTGTCTAAAAAAATAAAAAAACTAAAATACAAAAATACCTTTCCCAATGGGTTCCAACGAAGTCCCATATTTCACAAAATCTTCTTCCTCAACAGATGCAATCATATTGATTGATTAATTTTTACTTCAACTTATCATTTCGGCGGTTTTTCTTTTACAAAGAGGTTTTAAAAAAATTCAAAAAAAAGACAACAGTCCAAATGTTCATTTTTTAAAAAATACGATTCGATCCTCTAATTAGCACTCAAAAAGAGAATACATTTTAAGTTTCAGACATTAATTCAAAAAGTAAAAATTACACTCTTTTAACTAACCTAATATTCATAAAACGTGTTAAAACAATTAAAAATGAAAATAAAAATTCTTTCTCGTACATTTTGAAAATTAATAACTGGACTATAGGTTATAAAATAGCTCTTATGTAATTTTGTTTACTATTGAAAGCCAAATCGTGCATTTAGAAAAGGTAAAAGGTTGGCGGGAAAATTCAACGATCTTAATAAATGGCATAAAATAAGAAAACAACTTTTTAGACTTTTTGCTTAATTAATTATTAATTTATAAAAACTTTTAATACGTATAATGTCTATAATATTAAAACCTATTATTTTTATTTCTAAATAAAATGTAAAGGTATTAATAATTAAATAAAACAAAATAAAGATAAAATTTTTATATTAAAAAAAAGTTTTACAAAACAATTATTACAAATTAAAAATAATAAAATTCGTCAGAGGTAAAAAAAAAGAAAAAATTAATAAATAAAAAACTATTTTAAAAAATTACTCGGCAATACAATTATTGTTGTTTTATAATTTAAATTATGAATCATCAACATTCATAATTAATTCACCAAAATAAGCAGTGATTGCTGTTAAATTACGGTGTACAATATTTTGCTCAATTTCAACAGAACCCTCTGGTCCAGAAAGTAATGCTATCTAAAAAAATTAAATAAAAATATAATTTATTATAAAGTGAAATTTAATACAAAGACTAAATGCTTAATGTTTACATTCAAAAATATACATAGTACTTTCCCTTCCCTTAAATTTTTAAATAATATTAATAATAATAATAATAAGTACTAAAACACTTACATCAACTGAATTTGTATTTTTTGGCAAAAAATATGCAATGTGATCCGTTATTTTAGATGCTAAATTAAATAAACCGACACCTCCTAGAGGAGGCAATATTAATCCTAAATCGTAAACATCCAAAGTTTTATATTCAGGCCCTCCCCAAGGAGGACTAAGAAAAACAACATCCCCCCACATACTTGAAGCCAATTGTTTAAAATCTCCAATTATAAATTCAATTCTGTCTTCAACCCCATAAATCCTTGCATTATGTTTGGCTAATTTTATTTTATTGGGATCTATATCAATCGCAATAACTGAAAAAAAAAAAAAAAAAAATTTTTTTTTAAATTTAAAAAGTCCATAAAGAGTAACATAGAGAATAAAAATACTCTGGAATTAAATATTTTTTAAAAAAAATAATAGAAAATAAATATACATTATTTAAAATAAATTTTCAAAAAATTATTTTTTTTAAAATTATAAGTAAATCGATTTTCTTCCATGAAAAAAGAAAAAATGTGAAAAAAAAGGTATGAAATCTTTTAAATAATTTTACAAAAAAAAAAAAATTTAAATAATTAATATACGGAATAATCGATTTTAATAATTTTATTTTGTTTACATTGAAAACATACAAATAATTTTGAAAATTATTTTTTATTTTCTATTATTAAAATAAATTTCAAGATAAAAAAAAAAAAGAAATGGTAATGACAATTTACAATGCTTGCAGATAACAAAATAATAATTATAAAATAAATTTGTTTAAATTTTTCGTTTTGATTCAAGAAAAATATCGTATGAAAAGTATATATAATGGCGTATTTGCCGGTAAAAATGTACGGTAATGGCGGCATGCAACTTCCAATTATCGATATTGCTCACACAATAACTTCACCATCGTTTGATTCGGAATCTATAAAACTCATACATTCACAAAAAATTTTACTTTCAAATAAAAATGTACATAAATGTAAAAATGAAAAAAGAGTTTATAAAAAAAAGAAAAAAAAAATTTCTCGGTCGCACGAAAAAAAAAAAAAATGTGATTGTTTTTCGAGTGGAAAAATCGGTTTTAAAAATAATTATAAAAAAAATCAAATAAAAAATTACAAAAAATTTCTTTCTCCAAAAATAATAAAACATCAAAATAATTTACGAGAGAGAAAATTTCTTAAACAAAAAAGTATCACAAATTGTACCTGTCGATTAGGGGAAAAAAATTTCAAAGTTTTATTTATGGAAGGAAAAAAAAAAGATGGCGATGATGAACATGATGATAATGGAGAAACAAATTCAAAATTTACTAATTCGTTAAAAGAATTAAAAAGGAAAAGAAATACGACCGTAAGTGAAACTAAACATTTGTGTTAGTTTTTTTTTTATTTATAATTTTTAAGAAAACTTATTAAAAAATTGTTAAATTTATTTTTAGGACTTTTTCAAAGCCGAAAATAAAAGAAATACAATAAAAAATTTAAATTTATCGATAAACTAAGAATATTTCAATATGAGGTAAAAAAAAAAAAAATATTTTAACTTCCCTTAAATAAGTCAAATTAATGAATGTATGATATTAGTAAGTAATAAATAATAATTACCTCTTTCACATGTGAAAGCAAATTGAATTGAATTTCCCCCAACACCACAAAAAGCATCGATAACAATATCACATCGACATCTTTCTGCATGGTGTTCAGCCAATTTCTCAGGTGTAACAGAAAACCAACTCTCTGTAATTTTAAAACATTTTTTAAAATAGAAAATGTATATTAGTAAAAAATTTAAACTATTATGCCTACCTGCATCCAGTTCAATCCCTTCATCAAATTTTGAAAATAATTGATATCTTTTTCTCCAATATTTCAGCAATTTTTTATTACTACTTATTTCATTGGGATAATTAATTGATTTTTTTTTTCTTTTCTTTTTTTGCCCTTTCGTACATTTAACCAAGTCTGAATCTAGTATATTTTCACATGCTTCATTGTCATCAAAACTTTCTTTTTCTGTAATTTTATTCTCATCAACTTCTAATTTCATTACAAATTCATCACCGTCTTCCTTTGGGGTATCAATTCTACATTCATTCTCTGAGAAATTTAGTTCACTGGAATTAGCAGTGTCTGTAATATTGTTTGTGTATTTTGTAGATTCGATTGCATTCCCATCGTCATCAAAAAATAAATGAAGTCGTGGTTTTGAATATAGTAATTTTAGTTTACTATTTTGTTTACGAATATTTTTCTTTCTAAAAGTAACTCTTCCACCTTTGATTGCATTTGATTTTTCTTCAAAAGGTATATTAATCAGTGACATAGCTCGTTTCAGAGTTTCCAATTCTTTAAATGATGTACCTAAATGGTCATTTGTTTGAAAATCACTGAAATAATTGAGAATACTTTAGGACATTTAAAATTTGTTTAAGAATTAAATATCAAACTGCAATAAAAGCTAAATTAAAAATAAATTATTCAATTTAAAATTTTTACAAAATAATTGCATGTGAATGATAGAAAATAAAATTATATTTTAATTTCCTAAAAGTAAGCATCACTTGAAAAAAAAAAATTTCATAAAATTACTTTATTGAGTCTTCACACTCTTCAATACTCTTTCCATTCCCTAAACTGTTTTCCTTTTCTAAAACATTATCTTCTTCCCTTAATTGAAAACTAAACAAAAAAAAATAAAAAAAAGACTTTGTAAAAGGCTAAAAAAAACTTTAATTTTAATAAGTAAAATTACTTTTCAAATAATTACCTTTTTCTTTCTGTTTCAGGAAAAAGATTATTTTCAATCTTATCTTGAATAAAAAAATTTTCTTCTAATCTTTGTAAGCAATAAGATATAGAATTATAATATTGTGAAGATAGTAAAAGTTTTTCATTTATTAAAGAATAATTTTTTTTTGTGTCAGTATGTTTAAATTGATTTATTGTATCACTGTCTAAATCAGAATCTTCAGATTTTTGTTCATATTTCACAACTTGATTTTCAAAACATTCAGAATAATGATTGTCACTGGAAGTTTCTTGATCATGTTCTGTAAAATTTGAAATATTTTCTTCCTCTATATGTTCATTTTCTGCAAAATTTTTCCTAATAAAAAGTTACAAATATTACAATTAAAAATATTAAAAAATATTGTATTCTCTCATTAAAAAAATTAAATACAATTTTATTTGTAAAAAGTTTTGATCGAGTAGCCTACTACCGTTTGATCGAATTCAATTCTTAAATTTAAATTTGGTTATGAATCTGGCAAAAAGTTAATAAGTGAGCATTTCTTAAGCTAAAAATAAATAAAATACTTGCTACCTTATAAATGCCCGGCTACACAAACAATAAATTTCAAAATAATTAGGTTTTGAAAAGAATAATTCAATTTCTGCTAACGGTTCGTTAATACCATCAGTCATTTTAGTACTTAGTTTACATATTAACTTTATTAAACTTGAGTGAGCAAAGATTAATTTCTGAAAAAAAAAAATGTAACTTTCTTAATAATTATTTAAAAATTTTTTATTATCAATGAGCAAATTTTTGATAAATTTAATTGAAGTTTATCAGTGGATAACTAACTATTAATACCAATACTGTACATTTTAATTCAATTTCGTGGAACTAACAAGTGTCACAAGACTTGATATTTTTTGTAGTCTCAGTAGTGTTGAAAAAACTATTGAGTTAAAAAAAAAAAGTGTCAAAATTAAGTATTTTTCAAAGTACATACTTTTTTTTTTTACATTGAGTTTTTCTGTAATCATTACTTATAATATGAGAACTGTATATTGTTGAGTATTTTTTTTTACAAATAAAAGATCTGGTTGAAATATGAACGCTATCTTTAGTTTAAGTCATTTTTGTGAAACACACGGACCTACTGTGTTGCTGAGTACCCAAGCATTTCATTTTGCTGGAGAAGATCATAGTGGAACGATTGAACCTTTAGGCGTGCAATTTTTTGGTTGTGTTCAAAAACTAAAAGCTTACAATGGAAGTAGTGTCTTTGAAAATTTAAAAAACACTAAGTGTGAGGTAGGCATAATGTTTCAATTTTTTTGAATAAACATTTGCTACATTAGGCAATTATGGCTGCATCACACCCATCACATGTTGGAGACATTGTACACCTAAATGTTGGTGGAACTCGATTTTCAACGTCTCGACAAACACTTACATGGATTCCCGATTCGTTTTTTACTGCTTTATTGAGTGGAAGAATTCCAAGTCTCAGGGATGAAACAGGAGCTATATTTATTGATCGAGATCCTCAAAATTTTTCAATTATATTAAATTATTTAAGAACCAAAGATATTAATCTTCAAATTACTGATTTAAGGATTTTAAGACAAGAGGCTGAGTACTATGGTATAACTCCATTAGTTAAAAGATTATTACTTTGTGAAGATATCACACAATCATCTTGTGGAGATGTTTTATTTTATGGCTTACTTCCTCAACCAAATTTCCCTCTGCATGATGCAACTGAAAATCTTAAAAAAAATCATGAATTACTCGCTGAAAATCATTTTAGTCATCCAAATACAAATCCTCTTTCTAGTTCTGCTACCTTAATGCCTTTACCCTGTCATTCAAATGAATCAGCTGTTCAACAGCCTCTTCATTATTTTAATGAACATTCCAAAGTCAATAGCAATGCTTTTAAAAATGTTCCCTTAGATGCTAAAACTGCTTCTTATGGTTCTACAAGTTCTTGTAATTCTAATTGCAGTTCTAATGAGTTAAGAATAATGGCATCCAAGACTGTAAACCTACATTCTAGAAATGCTTCACTTGATTTAAAGCATTCTAGAAATTCTAGTTTAGATTTTAATAAAACAATAAAAAATGAGAATGGAATGGTTTCATTAAATTATCATCCGGATTTTTGGGCTGATCCAATGAGAGTAAGAACTATTAGGGCTCATCATAATTGGATTTCTGTTGCTTATGCACATTTTGTTACATGTTTTCACCTTAAAGATTCTAGTGGATGGCAACATGTGTTTACAAGTCCATATATTGAAAACTGTATTGAGCACATTGCGATTAATGCAAAAATTAATCAGGGGGCCAATGGTGATTATTTAAAAATGGTGGCTATATCTTGTGGCAGCCAAATTTACTTGTGGAATATATTAGAAGATGGAGGAAAAATTAATGTTGGAACATTTAAATTAAATGTCAGGGTAGAATATTTGTTTTTTATTGGAAGTCAGCTTGTCGCTTTATCTTTGTCTGGAAAAATTGGAGTTTGGCATTCGATGACTCAACATTGGCAAATTCAAGATGTATTACCCATAACATCATTTGATACTGCTGGATCCTTTTTATTACTAGGATGTAGCAATGGATCAATTTATTACATTGATATGCAAAAATTCCCTTTGAGAATGAAAGATAATGATTTATTGGTAACCGAATTGTACAGAGATCCTTCCAAAGATCCCATTACTGCAATATCCGTTTATTTGACTCCGAAAACCAGTATTTGTGGTAATTGGATAGAAATAGCTTACGGTACGAAATCAGGGGTAGTAAGAGTCATCGCTCAGCATCCAGAAACTGTTGGACATGGTCCTCAACTATTTCAAACTTTTACCGTTCATCAAAATCCTGTAATAAAAGTATCTCTTTCTGAAAAATTTTTAATATCAGTGTGCAGTGAATATTCTCATGTGAGAACGTGGAATGTAAATCGCTTCCGAGGAATGATATCCACTCAACCAGGTTCGACTCCCATGGCTTCATTTAAAATAATATCTTTAGATGCGACCGATTCATTCGTAGGTTACGTGACAAAAAATGATTGCGGACCGTTTGGCGAACAGGATGACGAACAGGTTTTCGTTCAAAAAGTGGTTCCCGAATCCGATAAGTTGTTCGTGAGATTGGCTTCCAACGGGAAAAGAGTATGCGTAATAACATCCGTTGATGGAACGGTTATAACTTCTTTTTGCGTTCACGAGTGCGAAGGATCCAGAAGAATGGGCTCGAGACCTCGTCGATTTATTTTTACAGGGCATAGTAACGGGACTCTACAAATTTGGGATTTAACACTTGCTCTAGAATTGGCAAATAAGAATGAATCCCTAACACAAATTTCCGGTGGTCCAACTTCAACAGAGCTTTTGCGTCTGTTGGATCAATGCGAGTTAAGTAATAGTTTATGTTCGACCCCGTGTATATCTCCTTGCCCGTGGACAAGTACCAGTTCGACACGGTTAAAATCGTCCAACACAATGTTTTTAACACAAAATCAAGAATCACAATCGCATAGTAATTCCGATCAGGATTCGAATCAATAAATAAAATTTTTTTTTTTCCTTTTTAAAGTAAAAGAGTAAGTTGTCGTTGATTCATTCAATGATGATAAATGAAAATTAAATTTATTAAATTGATTTTAGCTCTGAGACTTGGAATGTTTGATTTTTCATTGGATTTTTTTTTTTTTTTCATTTTATCATAATGTTGTTGACTATTAAAAAGTCAAAAAACCTAATTTAGAAAATAATAAAAATAATAAATAAAGATAGATAATAATTATTATATAAATAAAGATGTTAAAAATAATAACTATACGTGTTGTGTTCATAATAAAAAAATTATTAATATTTTGTAGAAAAATGCAACTGTTTTTTTTTTTTTTTTTTTTGAGTTATTAAATCAGTGTATTTTATTTAATTTTATAATAATCATAGATGTTATAGTAAAATGTTATAAAAAAAAAAATAGTTAATAATTACATCGATTCGCGTAAATTATATCGAAAAAAAATAAAAAAATAGAATTTTTTTATATAATAAACAAATAAATTTAATTATTAAAGTTTTTAAATTTTTTTTGTTTTTAAAAAAAATAATCATTTTTTTATCCTTATTTTTATGTACTGGAGTAATAATGAATGTTTTAAAAATTATTATTTTTATTATAATTCTACGGATAAGCAAGGAAGAGAGTAAAAAAAAAAAAAAATAAATAAATTTTAAAGTTTTTATGGGATCCCCCCATAAATTATTTTAAATCTTTCTTCGCTGGATCTGGTAGGATCTCTTCTTATTGGTTTTTCTTTTCTTTTTTTTTTGGTAATATTGTCCAAATTTTTTTTAGTTGATTGATATTTTAAAAAGTTGAGACATCAAACTAAAAAAATTTTCAAAAAAAATTACTTAAGGTAAAAATAAATTTTTTTTTTTTTTCTCGAATAGAAAGAGCCATGGAAAACAGAAAAAAAAATTCTTAATAATAATTTTCATATTTTATTAACATTGATTATAAAAATATTTTCTTATTTTTAGGCTTGTGAATCCACAAGTGGATTTATTTCAAATGACTACAAAAATAAAATTAGCTTTATTAGTGCTAGATTATCAATTGATTCAAATGTAACTTTACTTCTTAAACAAGGAGCCATACGTAGTTTAAGTTGTGAAGTTATCCCCGGTAAAGAAGGTAATTAATTAATTAAATATATATATATTTTTAATTTTTTAAATGTAAATACTTAAAGTGCATATAAAAAATTTAAAATTTAGGTTTGGTTTATTTCGGGGATTCATCTCGGGGTCATTTTTTAAGCAATGCATTTTGTTTGAAAGATGCTCAAGCCAGAGGTTTTCATAGATGGTACTCCATTGTAATTTACATGAAAGATAAACATCTACTACTTAATTCTTGGCCTTTTTTTGAAAAATACATGCATAAACTTATTGTTGATTTACAAACGAAAGCTTCTCAGGTAAATAAATGTAAAACGTGCTTGTAAATTTATAAGGATGTGTAATAGTCTGATACATTTTCTGGAGAAAAAAAAATCCAGGAGTTTATTTACTAACTTTTAGACTTGTGGTAAAAACTTATTTTTAATGTATTTAGGTATTTACACAAGAACAAAACATGTGCTCCCAAAGAAAATTGCGTTTAAGTGGTATCAAATCAAATCATTCGACTACAAGATCATTAGTAAAACTTACTGGTTCTCCACATGTTTTTGCACAGTTTGTATTCTTTTTTTTTTTTTTTTTTTTAATGAAAAACTTCAATTGTATCAATGATTTATTAATTTTTGTAAAAATTAGATTACATCTTTGGTTTTCCTGGCTTTTATCAACCGGAGGAAAACGTTTGGAAGAAAATACACCCATGAGAATGTTAAATACAAGAAGTGATACCTCACATAAAGGTTTTTAAATTGATAATCATAATTTGTATTGAATTTACCTATTTTTTTTTTTTTTTTTTCCCGTTGAAATAATTAAAGAAGAAAAAATTTTAAATTTTGTATTTCAGTTGACACTTTTGATAAGAAAAGCAGGACCATTGATAAATTAGATGATTTTATATGGCATTTGAGAAAATTAAGGAACATATTTGGAAAATATAATTTTCAAAAAATTATTTATTCGACATTAATAGGAAGGCAAATAATTGTAAGAGGACCGAAAGAATTCGTTGGACTTTTATTAAATATTTTAAAAGTAATCAAATTTATTTATTCATTGAAGATATTTATAAAACGACTAACGAAATAGTTAGTAATTCAAAAAATTTTTTTTTTAACAACCATTTCAGTTGTTTTTACCTTCTTGTAAATCATCATTAATAAAATATGATGAAAAATATAAATGTCGAGATATTAGTAGCATTATAGGTTTGAGTTTATATGCTGCCGTACCTAAATCATGTTACAATTTATTAAGATTAGATATTGTTCCTCATCAAACCTGTGGTATGATATATGAAATTTTTTTAAATGTTGTGATTTTCTTTAAAAAAAAAAGAAAAAATAATTTTTTTTTTAAATTGAATTTTTCAGATTATTTTATTGATAGTAACAACGATGATTATGATCGTTATAATTTTATATTAAAATGTGAAAATAAACTTCCTGAAAAATTACCAACTTTGCTGGTTAAAATCGATAAAGCTTTAGCCGATGATACGTTATCAGATAAAGTCGTTTGGCTACACGTTTATTCACTACTTGAGCAATGGTTTCAGTACGTATTGTTCCAAAAGTTTTCTTTTTTTTTTTTTTAATTAGAAAATCGATAAAATAAACATAAATTTTTTTTTTAGCACTGCGGAAGTATTAAAAGAAGCAAATAAAAAATGTAACGAAATTTATTATTCTAGTCTCATGCAATTCCTTGGAATAAAAGAACATGATAAAAATTTAATAAAATTTTGGACAACTTAAGTAAGGCTTGTTTGTAAATGTCGTTAATTTATCTCAATTTTTAATTTATATTTTGTTTAGTATGAAAATGTAATCAAAGATTTCAATAATTTATTAATGTACGGAATTTATTTTTTATAATAAAAGTTTATATTTTTTAAAAATTCACTGATTAATAAAGAACAATTATTTTTTTTAGTACATGTAAAAAAAAAAAAAAAACAAATCAAATTTTAATAATTTTTTTTTTTTTTTTTTTAATTAACATCCATCGATTCAGAATTAAAATTTTTTACTATTGAATCACTTTCGAGATTTCTCTTGTAATCTTCTTCGTTATCATCTTCGTCACTTTGTCCATTTAATCTGTATAATTCTAATGTTATGGCAGAAAGAAAAGCGGGAATCGAATTACCACTATGTAAATATTCATCCACGAATTTCGACATTGATTCTGCAAAAGTCGTTCCCAACATTTCCAGAGTTCCGTTTTTCGTTTGCTGTAATTCGTGAAATTTAAACTTTGTGCAACATCGAGTTGAAAATTTAATTTAAAAAATTTACCTGAAACATGAGGTAATCCAACTGCGAAGTCGAGTACATGTTATAAAGCTTATATAATTTATTATTGGATGTCAAATCGATTCTATATCCCAAAAGCATGTAGCTGACATCTCTAAATTCTTGACTCGTTTTTTTAAAAACTTCTTTTAATCTTTGCATTTTCAAATTCGCCGATTGTAATTCTTTTTCTAATTCTATTTAAGTAAAATAATAATAATAAATCATTAAAAATGACGAATTAAAAGAAATTTTTATTATTTATTTAAATTTATTTAAGTTACCTAAAACTTTTTGACTATTACAACTTTTTATGTCTTCCGTCACTTTTTGAGTTATATTCAGAGTTTCTCCAGATTCCAGTAATTTAACTCTGCTTCGTAACCTTTCACATTCCTTTTGATAATAATCCATTTCTTTTTGAATATCTTTTTCGGCAATACTAGCAGGATTTTCTCTTTAAAAAATTTTTTTTTTTTTATCAAATTAATTTTTTGCAGAGGTGATAATTAAAATAAATTACATAAACACTTACTTAAAGTGAAGAATTTTCGTGTTGGAATCGGTCGTAGTTTTTTCAATCAAAGCTTTACTTTCTATTTTACGTTCCAATTCATCTTTTATTTTTCTCAATGATTTATTTGAATCTTCTAATTTTTTTATTTCTTCTTTTAATTTAAATATGGTATCGATACTTTCGGACGGTCCTAGAAGGAAGTAATTATTAAAAAAAATTATAAACAAGTAAAAGAAAATATTTTCAACCAGTAAAATAATTAAGAGGTGACGTAACACACCTTCCGTTTGATATTGTTTCAATTGCAATTCAAGACTTTCGATATGATTTTGATATTCACTTAACGTGACTTCTAAACTTTTTATTCTACTTTTCCAACGATTTTCCACATCCGTATTTAAATCCTGTTCTTGAACATCGGTTATCGTTAAATCCCTTTCGTACAAATCCAATTGTTGACGATAACTATCTCTCTCCTAAAAAAAATTCAATAATTTTGATGTATATTTTTATCATAATGATAATTAATAACGATAAATAACCGCCATTTTTTTTTTTTCATAATTTTACATATAGTACATACTCGAGATACAAGTATAGTTTTTTTTTTAAGTAATTGAACTCCAACTTTTAATTTTTGAATAATGGTTTCTAATTTTTGATTTTGAATTTTAGATATTTCTAATTGTTGTGCAGTGGTAGAACATTTATTTTCCAACGACGAAATACTAAAAAGGAAAAATTTTGAATATTTACATAATAAGACTCTAGGCAAATTCTACAACAAGATGAAAAAAGGAGAAAAAAAAAAAAAAATTTTAAATGACAAAACTTACAGTGTGTTAAGGTTGTTTATTTCTAATACATTGTTTATTTCTTTTTGTTGTAGGGATTCGATATAGCTTCTTAGAGAACTTATTGTTACATCTGAACAAAATTCTGAAGCAAGTGACTTCCATTTATCTAAATCTAACTCCAATTGCATTATTTGCCCCTAAAATAACGTTATATAAAAAATAAAATACCAGCTTTTCAAAAAATTACTTATATTTGTATGAAATTAATAATAAAAGTCACCTTTAAACCTGGAATTTCATTAACTTTTTTTTCATTGGCAGCAAGTTTAATTTTCAAATCGTGTACCATTTCTTCTAGTAATATATTATTGTGTAAAAACTGTTTCAAATTACTGATTTGTAACTTTTTTTCATTTAATTCTTTTTCCAATTCATTTACCCTAAGAACCTTTTCACTCAAAGCTAATGTTACATTTTTGGCTTCTTTAAATTCTTCTTGTTCAAATTCTAAAGCCTAAAAAAAAAAATAAGTAAGGTAATAGAAAAAAAAAAAAAAATTAGATGTAATAAACACTATTTAAAAACTATTTAAATAAATGATTAAAAACCTTAATTTTTAGTTGAGCTAATTGTAACTGACTTTGTGCATCCTCTAATTTTTTAGCTTTTTCAGATGCTGTAACTAATCGAGCATTTAAACTTGAACATAACTCATTCTTTTCATCATTATCTATTTTGAGCTTTTCATTTTCCGACTTTAAATTATTAATTTCTTCATGATATTTTAATTTTGAATTATCAAGATCGCATTCAAACTAAAAGAATTGAAATAAATCAAAAATTTAAAAAATTTAAGACACAAAACTTCGACTTAATCATTAATTTTGTAATTCAATATATTTTAAGTTTGAATTTAATGAATATCTTAATAACATACTACAAGTAATACATTCATAAGCAAAATCTTACTTTATTAGTATTTTCTTTCAATTCTTTATTTTCTTTTTCCAATTTCTGAATTTTGTCACTTAATTTTTCAGTCATACATTCATATTTTTGAAGCTTGGCATTCAATTCTTCTTTGTAATCAACTTCTCTTTTTCTAATTTTATTTAGTCTAAATTCTAAGGTTTTAATCTACAATGAATTTAAATTATTTTTTAATTAAAATTAATTAATACTATTTTTTAGGTTATGAACTTTGTAAAAATTTTCAATTTACTGTAACTCTGTTTGATTCAAGCTGATTTTTCATTTCTGATTTTTCTTTGTCAAAAAAAATAACAGCTTCCTTATTTTTTTTATGCAATTCCTCAATTCTATCTTCTAATTTGATTCTTTGAGCTTGTGATTCGCATAAATCTGCTTTTAATCGTCTAAATTCCCATGGTGACACTAAAAAAATCAAAATTTTTCAGTAAAGTTTTTTAAGAATTACAAAAAAAAAAAAAAACTTCAAAAAAATTATTTGACTTTAATAAATAGATGCTCAAAAATAAGTTTGATGTGCACGGGACATTTTCGAAATATTTAATTTTATCGACTGATTTTTAAAATAATTGTTTTAATAATAATAATAAATTAAATTAATTACCACAAAATGAAGAGCTAATAGAATCATTTTTCAACTTTTTACCAACAGAATCAAATTCATCTTCAATTTTTCTCTTAGACGAAAAAGCATCAATCGAGTGTTCAGACTTGTCATTTTCCGATAAACAATGTATTTCTGAAAGGGCTGATTGAAGTACTTTTGAGTCTGATGAAACATTTTTATCGTCAGATAAAAAAATTTCACTTGATAAGTTACTCATTCTACATTATTGTACACTAACCTTAAAATGCTTAAAATCGTTTATGTATTTAAAAAGTTTTATGAAATTATGTTGGCCAATAGATCATACTTTACCAACAGAAAAATTTTAACGACCGCTAAGAAGTACCAACTTATTCAGATTAATAACGAGGATAATCAGAGAATTAAGCTAACTCTAAATAATATATCTGTAAATAAAAATTTAGATTTCTTTTTTTTTCTTTCTTTTTTTTTTTTATTATGAACAACGCAAGTTCAATAGGAATTTCGGGGCAAAAAATATTTTCGAATGTAAAATACTTTGTGACTGGAGTTTTGCCTGAAAATGTAAGAATTTTTTAATTTTTTTTTTTCTAAAACCGGCGTATAAAAGTAAATTAATATTATTTACTTTCTTATAATTGTTAATGAACAAAAATTCTTTTAACAAATGTCTAAATAAAATTTTAAACTGCTAAATTTCTTTTAATTGTCAAGATTTTATTTTATTTTTTCTAAATTAATAAAAAAATTTTCTTTAAATTTTAAATCACTTGTACACACAACTGAATATTTTACATAAAGTTTAATTTGTGGGAAATTATTTATTTTTTTATTGTAAATTTTTATTATTGCATTTTTTTTTTTTTAAGGTAAAAAAAATACTTAACGATGAGGGAGCTGAAAAAATCAATTTTTTTTCTGATATGGTGACTCATTGTATTGTTGGTGACAATCCGAGAGAAAATGATATATCTGATGCAAAAGACTTATATGAAGTTCCGACTGTTACTCCTACCTGGGTACTACTTTCTGTGTTTTGTAATAAAGTGCTTCCGTATCCTTTTGTCGTTTTTTATTTAATATGAAATTGTCAGCTCTTAATAGTATATCAAAAATGAATTTACATTATTTTAATACTTTACATTTAAAAATTATTTATTGATGCATTACAATAAAAAAAAAAAAAAAATTGTAATGAAATTGTTTGTTTAAAACAAAAGTAATCAATTTATTCTGTTTTATGACTTTAAAAAAAAAAAAATTTCCTTAATTAATAACATTAGTACAAAAGGGTTTGTATATGAACCAAACCAAATATTTAGTAATGTAATAATGACAGCTAGCCAAGTTACTTGTGCTGATTTTAAAGCAATCTGGGCAATGATTACTTTTTATGGAGGAAAATTTAAAAGCTCTTTAGATCAAACATGTACACATTTAATTTGTGGTAAACCAGTGGGTAAAAAATATGAATTTGCCATCAATCACAAAAATATTAAAATCGTAACTCCAGATTGGGTTGGAGAAAGTATTAAAATTGGCACCCAAGCTGAAGAAGAGTTTTTTCATCCTAAATATTTGTTGTCTAAAACTCGAGGCAACTCACCTCCTTCAACGAGTGATTTATCAACAGCTCAAATTCTTGGTAAAAATTTTTTTAAGTGCATTTTATTTTTATAATTTTCTCATTTGATTTTAAATTTAATTAAAACATTTTTAACTTTAGGCTTTGCAGATGATATAGCTCCTTCAACAGTAATTCCTGAGGCACCATCTTCAGTGTCATCAACACAAGCCTTATTAGAAAAACTTAAACAGAGGATGCCATGGAATAGACCACCTTCATCTATTGCATCTCCTTCTGCTAATCAAATGCCTTTTCCTCAGTCATCATTAGGTGTTATGCCCCAAAATAAAATTAATCCTATGCCACAAAATCAAGTGCTCTCACCATTACAAGGTTTGATATATACCAATTAAATTTTGATCGAATGAAAATAATTATAATGAAGCATTTTATATTTTTTTGTAGCTTTACCTCCTCCAAATAATCAACCAAATTCAAATCTTCAACCTACTCAACCTCTAGAAAGAATGCCTTTAGATCCACAAAATAGAACAGGTCAACAAGGACCTCTTTGGAGACCGAATACTATCCAAACTGTAAGACCTCAATATACTTTAATACAAAGAGATGGCTCTGTAGTTCAAACTGCTAATTGGCCGCAATATCATTTGCAACAGCAAAGGCCACAACAATTAAATCCAGGTTCGTTTAAAACTTTTTAAATATTATTTATCTAAAAAGTTAATTGTAATTTTCAAAACTTTATGTAAAACCTAAAAATAAGAATTTTTCAAATTATGATTAATTTAAAAAATTTTTACATTTGAAATGACAATTTAATTTACTATGCAAAATTATTTAAAATTCTCAGCTCAACAGCCTAATCATAATATACAACAACAACAACAACAATGTCCTTTACCTCAACAAAATGCAACTCAGCATCAACAGCCAAATCAACAAATACAGCAGGGACCTGTTTTACAAAACACTCAAATGCAAAGTCCTCCTCAAGGGTCTAATGCAAATACTATTCAAACTCATAATGCAGGCCAACGGCACATTACTTGGACCCAACAGCCGCAATTACAAGGTCCACCCAAACAAGTTATTCAACTTGATCCTCAAACTCATGCTCAGCTTAGCCAAATGGATCCACACCAAAGAAATTTGTTTCTACAAAAGATACAAAGGCAACGACAAATTATATTGCAACAAAGGCAATTACAAGTAAATAAATAAACTTTACATTCAGAGACTTACGGATGATAATAAAGCATAGTAAATAAAGAGTAAAAATACTACTGTAGAATTTTCGTAATTATAATAGTTACAGCAGCAGCAACAGCAACAGCAACAACAACAACAACGCCCTACTAGTCAAGGCGGAAAATTAGGTAATCAGCCTCAACCTTCTTCTATATCAGGCCCGCAACAGCCCAATCATCAACAGCCTAATATTCAACAACCGCCCCAGCATTCCTCTGGGATTCCTATAAGACAACAACAAATAATTATAAGGGGCGTAATGCCTCCAGGCTTAACTCCGCAACAACAAGCTGTTTGGCTTCATCAGCAGCAGTTTATAAGACAGCAACAGGTATTAAAACGTTTTTTTTTTTTTTTTTAACCAAGATTTTCGTTTTTATTAGAAATTTTTTAAAATTAATGTTTGAGTAAATTACTGCATTCATAAATTTTTTAAAAAAATGTTTAAATATAGATTTTAGTACATCAGCAGCCAAATCAAATTAGACATCCAGGAAATGCACCTCAATCTCGTGTTGTACAGCAACAAACGGCAACTTCAACGTGGATTCCACAGGCAGAAAATCAACAGCAGCAATTGCAATTACAAAGGCAGCAGCAAATGAGAATACAGCAATTGCAAATACAGAAGCAACAACAAATTGTTGTTCAGAGAGCGGCCGTTCCGCAACAATTTCAGGTAAAAAAAATCCTCTTTAAAACAGAACACTATTGCTTGCTGTTGTTGTTCTCTAAACGATTATTATTACTTGCAATTTATCTATAATATATTTATTTACAAATGCTTTATTAGCTTTATTAATGCTTTTTCTTTGATAATAACTCTAAGAGTGATTTTTAAAAGTAGTAATTTTAAATAATTTTTAATTTTAGTCATCCACCGCGATAAATCTTCCTGCTCAAAATATTTCTCATACAATTCATCCGGAAGAAGGTTCGATGCAAAATCAAACCGGGGTAAGAGTTATTTTTTTTATAAATTCAGAGGTGTTTGTTTGGTTATGTTTCAAATGTATAAATTTGCAATTTAGAATTTTCAATTTAAATATTTTGGGATTATTTTAAATGTTTTTTCGAATGAGGGTTTTTTTTTTTAATATAATTATATTATTTCTATAAGTTAACAAAATCGCAGTAAGTCGGAATTTTAGTCGCTTAGTAAATTAAATTAATAAATCCCCTGAAACGGTACTAAAAATTTTACCATCTTTTTAATTCATCTTTTTTTGCAAACAGATAGGTATTTTTTTTTTTTCAATTTATTTGAATTTAGCTGCTAAATATTTGTTTCTAAAGATTTTTAGTTTATTAGTAAAACAATTAAATAGGGATATTTTAAAATAATTTTTGCCAACTTTTGAAAATATTTTTTTAAAAATGTATATTTTCAAATTTAATTTTCAAAATTTTTTAAAGATTCAAAAAAAAAAAAAAAATTTTTCACTTAATATCTGTAACAAAATTGTTTTAATAATGGTGATGGGTACAGGGATCTGTTGGTGGAGGGCTCCTAGTAAACAACAGAACAAAAACAGCACTTGCTAATATGCTTAGCAATCGCTTACAAACCGGTCATCTTTCACCTCAAACTCAGGTAAATTATGTCTAAATTACATTCTATCGCAAAAAAAAAAAAAAAAATAAGTATTCATTTTATATATAAAGTTTTTATTTACTCTATGATTACACTTGATAATTTAATTTTCTCAAGGGTCCGAATCAACCCGATGGATCGGCAGCAGGTCAATTGAGATTAATGTCGGCGCAGCAAAGAACTCCTCAACCTCCTCCACCTCCACCACCCTCACAGCCGTCTGCTCAGTTAACGGAATCTCAAGCAAATATTTACGTGCAGCAAAGAAGAGGAGTTGGAAATATCGAAACGTTGGCTGCAAATGCTCGACCGAATGCAGCCGTTAGAGATATTTCACCGTCGACAGGAAGTCCTGCCACTGTGCCAAAATCTCCCGCCAGAACTCAATTACCACTTTCTGCATCCACTACAAGTCCGGGCGGATCTCAGAAAACTCAATTTTTTGCTCATAATCCTAACTTAAGAAGTGAGTAACTATCTTTATTTATTATTTTTACGAATTAAAAAAAAAAAAAAAAAAAACAATTTTCTAATAACTTTTTTATTTAGTTCCTCAAGAAAAATATTTTCTGGGTTGTGTGTTTTACATAGTGGAATACGATCAATCGGAAGATATTGATGTATCCGTTTGGGAAGAAATAATTCGTGATCGTGGCGGAGAAATTGAGTCCATTTACAGCCATAGGTATGTTACCTTTAATTTTTGTAACGTTTCTCGCGGTTTCTTAACCTTAAAGGTTATTCTTTCTCAATTACAGAGTCACCCATGTATTATGTGAAACACAAAAACACGGTATTGTCCAGCAAGCTTTAAGAGACGGTAAAAGGTGCATAACGGCTTTTTGGTTGAATGACGTCGTTTTGAGAGGTTCTCTCAGCGTTCCATGGTTGGCTTTACATTTTCCAGTTCCTTTCGGGTTCGTTACGATAACTTTTACTGTAAACAATTTACCCATTAAATTTTTAACTTAATTTTAAAATAATTTTTAGAAGGGAAAAACCATTGAGTAAATATCAAATGACGTTAACCGGTTTTGAGGATAAAAACGAAAGAGAAAGAGTGGCCACCATGATACGTATTGCCGGAGGACAGTACCGTAATTATTTATCGCCGTTAACTCATGTAGTCGTATGCCGAAAAGCAGATGGTCCAAAGTACAAAAAAGCTAAAGAAACGAATAAAATAACAGTCAACGTTCAATGGCTGAACGAAATACTTTTTGGTCATTATTCGTGCATTCAACAACCGGAAGTTCATAAATATCAACAGTTTAATTTGTCTGCTTGTTTTAGAGTAGACTATTCCCTGATTCCACATCTTATGGGTATTTTAAAAATTTTCTTTTCTTTTCTTCAAAACCTGAAAAAAAAAAAATCTAAAAAAATGTATTATCTCATTAAAAGGATCATGGAAGCTACCCATCAATGTAACCTCGGAAGCATACAACGCCGTGAAAAATTCTCCACCACCCCATCGGAAAATAAAAAGGCCAAGATTGGAGCCTACCATTGAAGAACGTCTCGAATTGGAAAACAAAATACTGGAATCCGTTCACGTGACTTGTCTGGAAAATATGTCAAAGCCGAATCGGCCCAACATTATGGTTACCGGAGACAAGAATTTCGAAATAACAAAGGTTAATTAATGAAAAATTTTAAATTTATGAGTTAAACTTTTATTAAAAAATTAATTATTGAAAAAAAAAAAAAAAAAAACAATTTTAGAAAGTCAAAGAAATGGGTTATTTGTTGACAAACAATGCCACGAACGTAACTCATTTGGTTGTGTGTGGAAAACCTTTGAGAACGATAAAAATGCTCAAAGGTTTGGTTGCGGCCAAATACATAGTTTCCGATACCTGGCTCATTGATAGTTGCAGTCAAAACAAATTGTTGAGTGAGTTTTTGTTTTTTGAAAGTTGTTTTCGTCAAGTTTTTAAAAGTTGTTTTAATTTTATCGTTTTTTTTTTTAGGCGAATCTAGTTATGCTATTCAACAAGCGGATTTCGACGGTTTCAAATGTAACATACCGAAAATTTTGTCTTCTCCCGATAGAAATTACTTGTTTAAGGTTACTATCATTATTTAAACAATCAAATATAGTTTTTTATCGAATCTTGCATAAGAGCCAAATACCAAATTTATTTTACTCATGTTTATTTAGGATAAAATATTTTACATGACGCCAAACGTCGAACCAAGTCGGAAAGCATTGACGGAATTGATATCGCTTTGTAGCGGTCAGGTTGAAAAGCAAAGACGGTCCGTCAAAGCCATCCAGGAATTGAATAAAGTAACACAAACCTATATCGTAATATCTTGTTACAATGATTTAGCACTTATTGCCGACGTATTCAGAGCCAAAATAGGTAAATTGTTAACGTATTGCCGTACCTTTTCATTCAGAAAAATGATTTATTATCATTATTATTATTATTACTTTTTAATTGCAGAATTTTACAGTACGGAATTTATAATGAGAGCCATAGCAACTCAATCTATAGACTATACGACTTCCGCGTATCGATATTAAAAAAAAAAAAGAAGTTGATGGTTTATCATCATCATCATTATTCACAATCAAATTTGTTTTTTTTTTTTTAAAATTAATTATTTGCCTTGAGTAAGGGACCACTTTAAAAAAATTTGTTAATTCTAATTCTAATAATAATAATAATTAATTAAATTTTTTAAGACTAAAAAAAAAAACGTTATTAAGGTTTGTTATGTTTCTCAATAAGATCTGTGCATTTATATATTTAAAAAAATGATTAGAATGTTAATATATATCGAAAATTTTTGACGATTAATATTTTGTATTAATTATTTTTTTCTGCCTTTAAAATCTACGGTGATGGAACCTATATTAAAAAAAAAATATGCGGGATTCAAGGATCGGTATATAGGTACAAATAAAATATCCACATATTTTTTTCATAGGACATACCCTGGCTTTTTTTTTTTTATTATATAAATTATCGAAGAAAAAGTTATACAAAAAATTTTAAAACGCGAACAAAATTTTCCTTTTTTTTTGGCAAACATTCATAAATATATATAATCACAATTATTATACTTAATTAAAAAAAAAAAATTGATTTTAATGCAGTTTAAAATTTGGTCACAAGTTTTCTCATCCTCTACATTCATTTTAATAATAATATTTTTCTATCGATTCGAATAGAAATTGTTAAAAAAAAATTAATATCAAATATTTTTAATATATATTATAAAAATGCTATGATTTACATGATAATAATGCTTTTTCAATATTTAAACATTCTAAAACGGCTGCACCAACGGAACTTCTTCTTGTTAACATACTCGTCGATAACGTCCATTTATTTGATTTCGAATAATACGTTTCAACAGAATTTAATGAAGAACTTCCATCGTTACCACCCAAAGCATATAAACAACCATTGATGTGAACGACTTCATGTGTTGATCTAATTTAAAAAAAAAAAAATAACAAATATTACAAGATGGACGTTCGTGTTCTTTGTCGTATGCTCTATGTAACTAAATAACCTTCGATTTTGCATGGGTGATATAGGTTCCCAAATATTTCGTCTTAAGTTTAATCGTTCTCCCGAAGCCATGCACATGGTTCCATCATTACCTCCTATGCAGTAAAGCATGCCATCCATTGCAGTAACGCCACAGGATGATCTTCTTGAACTCATTGATGGCACCGAACTCCAGGAACTTGTTCTGGGATCCCATCGTTCCACTGTGGCTTGATAATTGGAAGAATCAAAACCTCCAACTGCATATATGCAGTTTTCTGCCATCACAAAAAAAAAAATATTTTACAACCGAGAGTCTTTAATGTGCAAATAATGTATTTAGTAATGTTTTATTTTTTTAAACAAAATTTATTATGATTATGTAAGTGTTGTGATTACTATAAACTAATATATATATGAATATATAATGCATGCAAAATGTTTTAAAATTCTAGAAAAAAAAAGAAGGTACTAAAATCCTAACTAAAATTAGTAATAGATTTGAACATCCTATTTCGAATTATAAAAACATTTTAAAAAACATTAAAAAAGTAAAAAATTAATTAAAAAATTTTCTAATTGAATTCTTTTCAACTATTTTTATTTATTTTTTTGGTTAATAAATTGTTAAGTTTTTGCAGTAAGCATAAAAAATAATTTTTTTTTATTTTTTCCAAAGGTTAATAATTTGAATTTTAAGCATTTAATTGTTACTTAACACAGCAAAAGCTCAAAAAAAAAAAAAAAAAAAAATTTAATATCATTTTGTTTATTAATAAATTTATTAATTAATCTAATGTGAAGCTGCTTTGCAAAAATTTATTAAATAATTAATTGATGTGTTAATAATTACGAGAGAAAAATAATTCAACTACATAAAATTCCATGTATATTATTTAATTCTTTTTAATATCATTATTATTAAATATATTAATAACATTAATAAAAAAAATTATTTTATTTTAAATTGACTTGCCTTATTTAATAATAACAAAAAAAAGAAAATTTAAATAGATATTTAATTAGTTTTTTTTGTACTTTCTGAAAATACAAAAATATTTTTTATTGTGATTTAGAAAAAAACTGTTGGTCAGATGTGAAAAGCAACTTCATTTTCCTCTAATAACTATTATTTAATCAATTACCTAAGTGTAATTTTAATGCCTACCAACTACAGCTATCCTACAATATCGTCTTTTTGTATTCATGGCGGGACATGAACTCCATATTCCAGTTAAAGGATCATACCTCTCCATAGAACTTAAACAAGAAGCTCCATCATAACCACCACAAACATAAATTAATCCATCGTGACTGCAAATTCCTTTTTATAAAGTACAGTGAAAAAAATTTTTTGGTTATTTTTTTTTAGTAACTCTTAAGTAAAAATTTATACGTTTGGTAATTTTTTCTACGAACCTAAACAACTGCGTTTAGTACCCATTGGAGTTATTGCCGTCCATTTGTTAATTTGGTATTCGTAGATTTCAGCAGTTGCTAAATCTGATGCTCCATCGTAGCCTCCAACCACATAAAGTAAATTACCCAAACCTGTGACTCCACTTCTGGATCTTCGGTAAAGCATTGGTGCTATTGGATTCCAACTTTCCGTTCTTGGATTAAATACTTCACATTCACTATGTATAGCAAATAGGCTTCCACCACCTTGACGAAAAAAAATTTAAAAAAATCTGCATATCAAATATTTTGATATTATTTCATACTCACCGACAGCAAACAAATAAGGTTTGAGTCCTTCAGGTTTTCGAAGAATCGTTCTTTCGCTGGCAAATGCAGATCTTTGTTCAGGTGAAAGATGGTATCTCATGGCTTCCAACAAAAGTTCTTTACATTCAGAATTTTCTCGAATTAAAATTTCTGAATCTACGTGTGATAAAAGAAAATTTCTTGACATCAAAGGAAGTCGAACGTGTTTCATGAGTTCTGATATATATTTTTCTCTTGAACTCAAATCGTGTCGTACCCAACTTAAAACGGCTAAAAAAACTTTTTCTTCGGATGTTATATTCAGCTGAGTATTCGATATGAGATCTTTTATCTGAAAAAAAAAAAAAATACATGGATTAGATTATTATCGTACTCTTTCGATTCGATTCGGTACGAAAAATTTACTTCGTTAAATGGCAGTAACATGAATTCTTCTGTTGACACGACATCTTGAAAATGATGAAGAGCAAATCTCTGTGATTGTTTCAATAATTCCTTACAAGAATGTGCATCAGCAAAACTTTTAATTCCCAAACAATTGGTAGGATGTAGTTGTCTCATTAAAAATTTACAACAAGCTTCTCTAACCGACAGCATTTGTAATATGCTTGAGGCTGGTAGTAAAACTTGAACATTTTCTTCTGTGATTGTTACTTGACCTGAAAAAAAAAATTTTTTTAAATTAAAAAAATCTCCATTTAAATTTTAAAAAACATAATTATAAAAAAATTGATACCCGTGTAAGAAAAATCAACTAATATTTTCAAAGCGGATGCATCAATGTCTTGAATTGTAATTTCAGTTTTTAATTTTTCTGCTAAATCATCATTGAACATTGCATGAAAATAAGGACTTGCAGACGATAAGACTACTTTATGAGCCGGTAATAAATTTTCTCCAGTTCTTAAAACAACATCGCATAACTGAAAAAAAAAATAATAATAATAATAATAATAATTTAAAGTTCATTTAAACAAAAAAAAATTAATTATTTTTCACCTGATTATTTTTTCTCATTCTATTAATGGCTGCTAGTGATACTGAACAATGATCTGGACTGCAGTGAAAAAATGATGATTTACGTTCAGAATTTTGTATTGAATTTGATGAAATAATCATTCCGGTTGAATCACTCATAATAATCTCAACACAAAATAAACCGTTAACACTAAAAAAACTGTAAATTAATTGAAAATGTTTCATTAGATTCCAATTAATACAATTTTTCCCTTTTTTTGATTAACATTAATTCAAAATCACACATGAAAATTTTTTCCTTTTTTTTTTTTTTTTTAATTAAAGTAATAATATAAAAACAACCAACTACCACCACCACCACTACTACTACTACTACTACAACTAAAGCTTTACAAAATTATAATTATTTATTTATTTTTCTTAAGAAAACAATATTAAATGAGTAAACGTTTATAATAAGGTCATTTTGACATTTAGGCCTAAATCGAAGAAGGGTTTTTTTTTTTTTTACCCAAAATTTTACAATAATTTTACTACAATATTTTAAATTTTTCATTGTACAAATAGATAATAAACTTTCAATACATAAATTTATTAAGTAATAATGTATTAATTTGACATGTAACAATAAATAAACAAATACATAATTTAAATATTCAAGTACTTACTTTTTATTTATTTATTTTAAATTAAGTTTTAATTCTGCATTTTACTTTAAATTTTAATAAATTTTTTTTGTTCATTATTAACTTTGAATTATTATTATTTTTTTGTAAATTTAAAGCCATACGAACACATTTGATAAATTTCTTAAATGAAAATTTAATGAAATTAAGGCGTAAAGCACGAATATAATATAAACGTTTTTACCCAATTATAATACATTTTAATGTTGATGATGATGATTATTACGTGTCACAATAAATTAAAATGCATATTTTAAATTAATTAAAATTATTTTTTTTTTTTTTTACTTATTTCATTTGAATCCATATGAACGCTATACTTTTTCCAATTAGAATTGTCATCAGCAGCAGCAGCAGTCAGTCAACAACAGATGCGCTGTGGAAAAAAAAAAAAAAAAGAAAATTGTGTATCAAGCTAGTAATCGAACTACGCATGCTAAAATTTTCTTTTATACAAATTATTAAAGTCGATTTATTCAAAAAAATGTTTATCCGGCTTAGTTCTTCATATTATACAACATTTATAAAACTAGGAGGTTAAAAGAAAAATTTTGAAATGATATTTATCAGGTCGTTTTGAACCTCCTTACTGTAAATAAACAATGATTAAAATACCTCCTCATAACCTTTAATTATATTTTAATATCATCTCGTGATGTCAATTATATTACATAATTTTATTAATAATTGTTTTTCAAATAACTGAAAATAAAAATAAAAAAAATATTAAAAATACATGATCAAATTAACAAAATTAATTAGTAAAAGTTACTTATATGTTTATATTTACCCTTTTTTATTATGTATAACTAATAATAAATAATTTTTTTTTTTTTTGGGGGGGGGTTTAAGTTATTTAATAAATCTCTTTGTGAAATGAATTTGTTTTATTATTAATTCGACTCTAAAATGAAATTATATAAATAAAAAAAAATCAACTCAAAATGTTTTTTTTTTTTTTTTAACTCTTAGTCTCATTAAATTTAACGTCATTATTTTTTTTACTAGCATTAAGTCTTGATTGCAAGACATTTATGACATCAATTCCGGCAATGGTTCTCAAAGAAGGTGGGATTTTTCCAAATAGAGCATTTACATTGTCTAGAAATTCATTTGTTCGTCCCAAATAAAGAATTTCATCTATTTTCGAGAGGGGTGCGGAAATTGTTGATGCAATTAATGGTAAACTATTTGTTATAAGAGCTAGTTTAGCAGCTGCATTGTAATTAGTAAAAACTTTAGCCTTTTTTAACATTCCATTAGCTTCGGCTCCACCAATTTTACTAACTTTAAAAGCCTCGGCGTTACCTAACAATTTTATTTTTTCCGCCGAAGCGCTGGCTTCTGCTATTTTTTCAATTTTTTTTCCCTCCGAAATTGTTTCCAGCTCGAAGGCTTCTGCTTCCGCGGGTAACCTTATTAAACTCGTTAATTCTAATTCTTTACGTATAACTTCATTTTTTTCAACTTCAATTAATTTCTTTCTTTCTACGATTGTTACTTTTACTTCAGCTTCTTTTATTTTCTGTTGTAAAATATTTGTTTGAAGTTCGTAGGCTAAAGCAACTCCAGCTTGTGCAGTTTGAATTTCTTTTTCAAATTCTGATACTTGCAAATTATACATATTTTCATTTTTTCCTATTTTGGAATCTGTCATATATTTAAAATTCTTTGCTTCTCTTTCTGCTTCTGCTTCTTTAATTCCCGCATCTCTATTTGCTTCTGCCACGCCAATATTTGCATCTCTTTTTACAATGGCCGTTTGAGCTTTTCCCAATGCAGATAAGTATCCAACTTTATCACTTATATCTCTTATCGTGAACGAAATAATTTCAATTCCCATTCTTCCAACATCTGGAGACGCAACATCTCTCACAAGAGATGCAAATTTATCTCGATCGCGATATACTTCTTCTACGGTCAATGTTCCTAAAGTACATACATTGTCAATTCTTCTACCTTATAAAAGTTTTAATAATTTTAATTTTTTTTGATTACCTAAAATTGACCGCAAATGACCTTCGAGTGTACTACGAATGGCAAATTCTATTTCTTCAATATCGTACCCTAGAAATTGTTCGCAAGCGATTTTAAGAAGTTCTTTGTCTTTTATTACTTTACACTGAGCCGTGGCACTAACAGTAAGAGGAACACCTAAAGAAGTTTCTACATCTTCGCAATAAGGAAGTAAAGTCATCAGCTCAAGTGAAATTTTTTGAACGTTTGTCACACAAGCGCACACGCAAGCCCATCCACCAATATAAAATGATTTTTTTTTTCGCGAACAGCAACCTCCAGACACGACTAAAACGTATCGTGGATTGGTAACATGCACTTGTCCCATTCGCAAACGTAATGTAGACAAAAATAAATAATTTTTTTTGTTTTATAAGGAGAAAAAAAAACTTAATTATAGTATCTAAAAATTTCGATTTTAATTATTATTATTATTATTATACAACTTAATTTTATTTGGAGATGATTTGATATTGGTGATGTTGCAAACTGTTACTGTCTTTTATTAAAAAAAAAAAAAAAAAAAGAATTAATTAATTGCATTATAAAATCAAAGATACCACTATTCTATCAATCTCTAAGCAAAAAAATTTGAATTAAAGATATCCCACCAGTTTTGATACATCATGTTTTTTTCTTTTTTTTAAATAAAACATTTGTTGTTTAATTTTATTTAAATTAATAAAATTGAGCGTAAACTCAAAAACCGATTCACTTTGAAAAGCGTAAACAATTTTTTCTGGGCCCTAAATTATTTTGGCCAATAAAGTGCATTATTAAAATTGACTTTGCTTGTACGGTATATTTAAAATGAAAATACTTTGTCAGTGTATATTAATACTCTTTTTACATAATGTTACGGGAAAAAAATTTAAAGAGGACGAAAAACCAAAATGGGCTAAAAAAGATATTAGAGATTACAATGATGCTGACTTAGAGAGATTGCTGGACCAGTGGGAGGTTAGTTAAATAATTTAGTTATGTCAAAGCATGTAAATGTAATTTTTGTATATTTTTTGAATGACTGAAGTCAAAAAATATTTTATTGATATTATAACTTTTTGATTATTCTTTTAAGTTTGTATTTTATAAACTTTTTATTAATATTGTAAAACTTTTTTTTTTTTTTTTTTACTTTAGGAAGGGGAAGAACCCTTAGAACCAGATGAATTACCTGAACATTTACGACCACAGCCCAGCATTGATTTCAGTAAATTAGATACAAGTAATCCTGAAAATTTATTAAAACTAACAAAAAAAGGAAAAACTTTAATGATGTTTGTTTCAACAACAGAAGATTTAAGTAAAGATGAATCAGAAAAAGTTACCAAATTGTGGCAGACTAGTTTATGGAACAATCATATTCAAGTTGAAAGGTATTTTTTATTTTACAAACTTCGCAAATAATTTTTTTATCATTCATAATTATTCTTAAGTTTTTGTTTAATAATTTTTGTTTATTATTTAGATATCTCATTGATGATAATAGAGCTATATTCATGTTTAAAGATGGATCACTAGCTTGGGAAGCCAAAAATTTTCTGATTGAGCAAGAAAGTTGTAAAGAAGTAACTATTGAAAATAAGTCTTACCCTGGAAAACACATTAAAAAAGAAAGCCAAAAACTTGAAAAAGAAGAATTATGATAGATGATTTTAAAAATAGTATATTCCAATTTTATACTCAACTATATAGGCATTTATATAATAAAATAATTTCAATTTTTTTTATAATTGAAAATTATGCAATGTATAAGAGAATCTTAAACTCGATCAATTAGTATTTTTGTACTATTTTCGATTGTGTTTCAAACAGGTTTATAAGTATATTTTTTTTTTTTTTTTTTTTGCTAGAAAGAATGAATGAATTATATTTAAAAAATTTTTTTAATTAAAATTATTTTTATATGATTAATTTATAAAAATTATTATCATTATATACCTGAAATTATTATTCTTAAAACTTTTTTTATTATTTGCAGTCGAAACATTTTTTGTAAAAAAATTATAGAATTATAAATAAAATGTAATCGAATTTACCTTATTTAATTATATTTTTTTAAAAAATAAAAATAAATTTACAACTTTTTTTTCTAATTCTTTTTTTTTTTTAAGGATAATTCAAATTAAGCAATTAAGAGAGCTATAAAATTACTTAAAAAAACAAAGAATAAGTTTCATTAGTAATAAAATGATAATTTGTTATTAATAATAATTAAAAATTATAAAAAAGTTTATTTAAAAAA